AGCAGGAGCCGGAGCCGGAGCAGGAGCAGGAGCAGGAGCAGGAGCAGGAGCAGGCTGACCCAGGACACAGCCACTCGGAGTAGACCCAGCTCGGCCGCAGGGAGCACAGGTCCCGCGGGGCTGCGCCTGCTCAACACCAAGCCCCCACGACCTCTCTCACTGTGCAGCCCTCTCCCCACTGACCCCCGTTTAGGAGCAAACAAGAGGCAGTGCCCCCAGACCTTTGGCAGGGCCGGGCCTTTTTGGTGTAAATTAGCTCGAAAGAAAGCGTTAACTGGTAGTTTTGGTTTAAACACATTTAAACACAGACAGATATAAAACCAATATTAATTTCTACAAAACTTTTTATAATCACTGATGTATGATTTACAACCATTGATTATGACTGTATGATTTACAATCATAAAAACAAAGGCATTAAAAAGGAAATACCACTGATTGAGTCAGCTTTCACATGCGAAAGCGAACTTCAACGGCCCAGGAATGAGCTGGCTGCAGCGGGTCGCTTCTGCAGATGAGACTCGGGTTCCGTGGCAGGTGGAGCCCGAGAGGGAGCCTCTGTGCGGATGAAGGTCCAGATGCCCTCGGAGCTCGGCACCCCTGTGCCATCGGCGAACAGGAGGGCCGCGTGCTGTGACTCACGGGCGCCTGATGCTGGTCATGGGGCAGTGTCACCTGTGCTGACTGGACAGTTTAGGGACCACGGGAGGCGCAGGGCCCTGGGCAGGACTCCCCTCGTCTTCTGACGGGAATGACAGATGCAGCAGCAGAGCCAAGGCCATGAGGCGGAGGTCTGGGTGGGCTGTGCAGTCTACGCTCACTATCCCTCCCTCTGCTGCACACACAGCTCTGTGAAGCCCTCCAGTCCTCCGGCACGGCTGAGCCAGAAAAAGCCGACTGTGTTTTCATACGCCGGGAACAGGGAGAAGGAAAAGGTTCTATATACCAAGTCTGCTTCGGAGACGCGAGTCCATCGAGGGGCCGAGGAGGAGAAACCTTAGCGTTCAAGGACAACGTCGCGGTCATTTACAGTCAGGGGCTCCGAGATGTCCCGGGAGGCTGTGCTCGGCACCTCACAGCCACTCAGCTGCCGTCCGGGTCCGGGGTCCTGGCCGCAGGCTCCTCCCGCGTCACCGCCCGCGGCTCTGTCCCTGCAGGAGGCACAGCCCTCCAAGGAGGAACAAGGCGGGCGGGTTATTTGACGGGACGACAGGCACCGCGTCCAGTTCCCACACACTCGCTCCTTAGAAGGTCAACGACAGCAACGTTAAACGCTTCTGTTCACCTGCTTGGGGCTCATTCCTCACAGGCCCCTCTACTCACGCACCAGGAAGACGGGATCAAAGACAACAGGGCCTGGCAGTGACCAGCCGCCCTGCGTCTAGGGGTGACGGCACGTGGCCCCCCGACAGGCAGGCTCGCACCCTCTCCTCAGAAAGGGGGGACTCCAGGGCTTGCTCAGCCCATAAGCCTCAGTGCACACTTTCTGGGCACCTCCCTTCACGCTCCTGTTCTAAGTTCTGACCTCACACATCACCTCCCACAGCCGTCACACCATCACCAAGAGCCAGCCCCTCGCCCCTGGCAAACGGGGCGTCCTGCCCGGGCGGCTCACGTCCGGCCTCCTGTGGAGACGCATCAGAGCAAAGACCACCTGGGTCCCCAGGGGCTCCTGCTACGCACGGACACCCCTCTGGTGTGGATCTCACTTCTTGAGTCTGAACTCCCTTCAAAGACGCACGCGCGTCTGAACGCGATTGGACACCTCGCTCCCCGTCCACCCCAGCTCAGAGCCGCGCTCTGCCCCTCTCACCCCGCAACCTGCCACCCCAGCTCAGAGCCGCGCTCTGCCCCTCTCGCC